AAAACAAATTAGTTTGCAAATGAGTGTATATTCGCTGATTTCGTGCAATTTGGTTTAAAGTAGAACATAAAGTTGACGGAAACCCGGGGTCTGCACCTACCTGACGAGCCTCGAAAAGGGCGAAACCGGTCGTGGGCTGTCGGCGGATTTTCAGCAACCTTATGAGTAATATATTACAAAGGACCATTGGCTATTCAAACGTACTGCGTGAGTTGGTGGAGTAGATATAACACGTTCACCTCGCATATCAGATGTCCGGAGTTCCAACGCTGGCACTTCCGACGATATGAACAGCTGAAAAGTTGGGTAGTTGGCGAAAGTTGGGTACAGTGTTCCTCCTTTGGCGTAGACTCACGAGAATAACTTTGCTAAGACAGAAGGAGGACTGTTCAAATGAGAGTGATGTAAATGTGGGTTCTACAAATCCCGTGACCACCTGAAACAACCCTAAACTTGTTGTGCTTCAAATCGGGGGCGGGTGAACGTACAAAGCTACTTCACTTACCGCACGCTGCGTTAGGCGTATATATATATATATATACCTTTGTAATTGCTCTATTTTGATTGATGTCTACCAGACGACCAAACTTCATTCGTGCAACCAGTTCTCATGATCACTGAATTGTGATGAAAACATTGTTGTTGGGTTCAGTTGGTGAATCAAAGCTGTTATTGACGACGCCTGGAGCTTGTACTGACCTTATTTGACAATGCTTTGATTCTCGCATAATCTGCCCACCCGTTTTCTGTGTTGTGGTCCATAGGGAAACATGTGTAGTTTCAACAGCTGCCTTCATCAAGAGCCCTTTTGGCACAGACATTTCGGAATAAAAACATGATCAATAGTGGGCAGTTTTGCAGATAAGCCACGTCTGAACACAAGCTGAAAGATAGCGGAGTTGTCGATCTGGCAAGCTTAGTGTATCTGAACCGCTGCCCTTACGATTTATAGCACCACATCCTCTGTTCACAGTGGGAAGTTTGGTGATTCCCACTAGCTTGGTCATAGGCGTTTTTCTTCTGAAGCTTCTTTTCGACATTTTTATCTAAATAGGGCAGATCGACCAGAAATTGTTGGCCTGAAAACGCTCCAACACCAATCGTCGGTGCCATTTCATCTCGACTAGTGATGAAACGTCCGCAGTCCAACTGCCAAGCTCGACGAACAGGCCAACAACCATGCAACACACCCGAGCCACCTATACTCCACATATTCATATGCTTTATTCGATGAAATCCCTGCATTTGATTCCAAATGCAAGATAAACGGTGGGTTCGGACAGAATCAACATTTATCGGCAAACATGTAATGCTATCCCGTAGAGCTGACACGCCAACCAAGTTTTATTCTGGATTCAAAACCGAAGACAG